CCCCCCCCGGGTATAATGGCTTTAAACACTAAAACACAATGTAAAGAAATTGCCATCACTTATTTATCTACTCTGTTGACAAACATGGCAATCCTCAATGTCCGGATCGGATGCGGGAACCACCTTACTTTTAGCGTTATCGGTATCATCTTTAAAGCCTGTTTATTTGCCTTCCTTTCGGTGAAAACAACATCTACCTATGTTGAATAGTAGTCGAAATATTTGGATTGAAGGAGGTCAGGTTTGCCTGGTTTCAGAGGGGAAATTTGCGAGAAGATGGGCGCCAGAGTTTGAAAATTTAATAGCTTGAGAATCCGTGGAAACTGAAAATTGACATCTTTTGTGCCTTTAATCAATGTTTTTCAGAAATCTCCACACAGAAAAAAGGTGATTTTAAATGGATATAAAAGGTGTTGAGCCGAAAGAAGAACATTTGACAAAAATTGGACAACAGTCAGAACAATGCCAATTTCTCTGATTTTACTATTGTGACGAGCGCCTGATTTCACCACGATGACTCACAATTATATATATACATGTAACAAGGTATTTCACGTGGGACGTTCGCCATATAGACCAGGCTTCCCTGACAGACAAAAAAACAATGTGAGGCAGCGTGGTGGAATCAGGCTCTCGTCAAAATAATTAAAGTGAAGAAACTTGCATTTTTCCTCAGGTTGATTTTTGGCTCAACACCTTTCATGCCCGTTAAAGAACTCATTTCAGCGTGGATTTTTCAGAAAAAACGTTGATTAACGGCACAAAAAAGTAAATTTTCAGTTACCACGGACTCTTAAGCTAAGGAGATAACTAATCTTTGGTGGCCATTTTCTCACTAATTTTACCTCTGAAAACAGGTGACCCCCACCCCCTTCATTTGCAAATATCTCGACTTGTATTCAAGGTATATGGATATTATTTTCATCCAAATAAAGACAAATGAACAAGCTTTAAGACGATACCAATAACTCTACATGCCCAAAAATTGACGAGAGCCTGATTCCACCACGCTGCCTCACAATTATTAGTCGAAGCACGACCTGTGAAATTATGACAGGTGTGTACGTGTGGGTATGTCTTTTTAATACTCATTTCTCGTTTCGTGCTTCAACACCACACTACCACTCTTCTCCCTGTTTATTTTTTAAATGAAGGACGTCCTCTCATCTTTATGCGAAAGTTGTCGACGTTTAAAATCCTTATACTTTCGTGAACGTTACACTTATTTAGATATCTGCTTTGAACAACAGCAACTAAACCAATAACATCATCATCATCATCATCATCATCATCATCATCATCATCATCATCATCATCATCATCATCATCATCATCATCATCAACTACAACAGCAACAACAACAACAACAACAACAACAACAACAACAACAACAACAACAACAACAACAACAAATGGGTTCCTCGTGTCATAATCAACTATCAGCCCCCTCCTCCCCCCCGACACACACACACACACACACACACAAACACACACAAACAAACACACAAACAAACACACAAACAAACACACACACAAACGAACACACACACACATACACAAACAAACACACACACACACAAACAAACACACACACAAACGAACACACACACACACAAACAAACACACACACAAACAAACACACACACAAACAAACACACACACAAGCACACACACAATCAAACAAACACACACAAACAAACAAACACACACACACACACACACAAACACACACACACAAACAAATACACACAAACAAACAAACAC